CTGATTAGACTGTTGGAGCTAATTTAAAGTATGGCCTTTGTTATGTCTACAGCAGTCTAATCAGCTAGGAAGATTCTCTGACACCCTGGCATCCAATCCGTCTCCATGTCATTGAAGCAGAAAGGCAAAGATTATGGCCATCAAAGTATATCTTCAGGCAGAGATACAGCTTTCCAAACCAGTGCTTAGTTAAAATTGTCATGTTTTAAAATCACTTTAAAATCAAAGATATTCAGATATTTCATAGAAATTCCAGGAAGCTTAGAAGTGGCTCAGTTGTTTTATCTCGGCTAGGTCTCATTTCCCTCACTAGAGGGTAAGCTCCTTGAAGGAATAGATCATATTCTTCTCAATATTTCCTACAGTATCTTATAGATAGAATGGCTTTATACACATTTATGTAACAAGATAATTTACTGGGAAAGTTCCTTGTTACTTTGAATGTCTCTGATGCTCTTTCAGCAGAGCACTCACTTTGGACTAGACCCAATGTTAGGTTCTTTATATCTATCATCTTATTTACTCTCTACAACCTTAGGAGTGACATTATTATTATTATTATCCCTGTTGAGACAACCAAAGCACAAAAAGGTTAAATATTTGCCTACATATATCTAGTTGGTGGGAAAAGTGGTATTTAAATACAGACTCTCTGTCTTCAAAGCCCAGAATTTCATCTTCTTGCTTCTTGATGGTAGTAGAACTCTCAGAATATTCTCTGAGTATTAGAGTGTGCTCCTGGGTACAGAACAAGTGAGGGAACTGAACTCCTGTTCCTGGCACTCCATGTTGAAAGTCATTTTGATCAGAGAATAACAAGGATAATGAGCGCAGCCCTTCTGATGATATATTTGTTAATTCAACAAAAATATAAATGATAGCACTTCCTGATTTCCATCTTCCCTATTTCACCTTCAGGTGTTTTTTTTTTTTTCCTCTCATTTGAACCTTGCTTTCATCCTTGGAGGTGGACTGGTATGCTGCAAAGAACATGAACCTTGGAATTAAACTAGCCTCATTCCATTTTTGCTTACCATTTACTAACTGCATCCTTGTGCATAGTTTTTAAAATATTTAAATTCAGTTTTCAATAAAATGAAGACAATAAACCCTGTCACATAAAGTTGTTTGGATGATTAAATGACATGACAAACATAACATTCAGAGCCTATGGATGATAATAATCATGAATTCTCTCTGCCCTGCTTTGACTACTTTATTTTCTGATGACGGGATACATGTGCAATCAGCCACCAAGTCTTAACAGTCTTCCCCTATAGCAAGGAGCAAGGAAGAGCTGCTCAAGCTGGCAATTGAAGATTTCCTATCTTCCATATGTCGAATTGCTTTAATTGAATAATTAAGGAAGGACCTCAATTACATTTAAATACTTGTCTTGATACTTTAAATACTTGCTTTAGTGCTTTTGTATTTTAAAACCAATACCTTTGATGTTTTAGTACTTGCATCTGGGGATGTTTTCTAGGTTCTGAATTTGATCCCTGTTGTACAGATGTTAAGGCCCATTACTTGAAATACTGTAGGTTTGCTTTTAATAGTTCCAAAATAGAAAGGTCTTTATTAACCTGCCATGAGTTAGAGGTACTGATTCATTTACATAACTGCCAAGCATTCTCTGTCTTTAGTATTGGTCAGACTCTTAAACTTCAGAAGTCTTATAGAAAGAGCACTAAACCAGGAGTTGTGACAACCTGAGTTAGCACATTGGCTCTGCTACTATCTGTCGGCAGCATCTTGGACAGATAGCTCTCTGAGCTCCTCTAGCCGGGTACCATTTCTCATTTATTTGTTCTTTGTACAGAGTCTATCAGAGTACCTAGAACAAGGTAAAAACTACAAAATCAAAGTTTGTGGAATCGAGAAATATTTTAATCAATTAGACAATTAGTATAGGACTTGAAAGCTAAAGAGCTTGGCGCATTTTCAGCTGGCTACCTTGTGGTCACCCTTTGGATCTGGACTTGTAACAAATGAGATGAGGAATGGTAATCTACAAATTTCTAACTTCAGTTTTTAACAGTGAACTTCCAAATTGTCAACCAAATCTCTCCAGTCTGTAACAATTCTTTCTACATCTACCCTCTCATCCATTTTGTTTATTTTCCCCTGAAATTCCTCCAAGTTTCCAATCTTAAACAATAGCACTCCAATCTAGTTTAATAGTTATACATTTTTGTATTTCTTTTCTAGGCTGAGTTTGACCCTTACTTATTTGCAACTTTTGAAAACTATCTTCATTTACGTCATTAAAATGACAAGCTTAGCACATTTATAAACAATAGTTTTAAGCAAAAATACAAAACAGTTTTTAAAATAGAGGTGTAAATTGACTTCATAATCAATGAAATCTATAGCTACAAAGTTATTTCTTTTCCACATGGTTTCATTTCATATCTTGTTCCCAAATAGAAAACTAAACCTGGGTAGCTCAGTCAGGTGGCTCTTGATTTTGGCTCAGGTCATGATTTCATGGTTTGTGAGCTCCAACCCTGTGTTGGGCTCTGTGCTGACAGTGGGGAGCTTGCTTAGGATTCTCTCTCTCTCTCTCTCTCTCTCTCTGCCCCTCCCCCACACTCTTTCATGCTCTCTGTCTTAAAATAAATAAACTTTAAAATAAATGTATAAATAAATAAATAAATAAATAATAGATAGATAGACAGGTAGATAAAATTAATAGGCCCATCTGACCCTATGTGAAAGGCAACCATTCATTTGTGTATATACAAACACACATGAAGGGACTACATATTATTCTTTTTGCTAAAACATATAGAATGTATATAGAGAGTGCAAACCTTTCAATTATTTCTAGAATATTGCTACAAACATTTATAAAAGAAGCTTCAAAGACATTTGTTTGTGAGTTTTCTATTACTGGTACTTGAAGATAAGCAGGTCACCCCTGACAGTGAGAATTTGGGCTTCCCCTCACTTGTGTGATTAGGTATATTTCACTTATGGCCAAGCAAATATGGTGAGTACATAAGATGATGTCTTCAAATCTGTATACTTCACTATGCACCCCTCTTCACTATGGAAATTAATTAACTGGCATCATGAAATAAACAATATAAACTCCAAATGTTAGCGAGAAAAATTCTTGCTTTTGTATTCAAACTGGAAAATGGAAAGACATACGTGAAGAGTAAACTGTCTAAAATCTTAATGTATGGGAAGAGTAGCAGAATATGCTACCCAAAAATATGCTGGTTTGATATAGTGATTAATCTGAGCTGTAGGCCTTTGGAAAAGAGTAAATGCAGGGATAAGCTTTCTCTTCTGCCTAAAGACAGACCCTCCAAAAAGAACTCAATGGCCATGAGTTCCCTCCCTGACTTTCATCAATGAAGGAAGACTGATTTTTGTCACAGAGGAAAAGACAAGAAGTAGACACGATGTGTGAACTTTGTCACAAATGATCATACCTCCCATATATGCTTCCAAGGACCCATTCACCTTTCTTAAAAATCATTTAGGCTCTTCCTAAGACTAAGTCTACATCCTGCCTCTCCTTTCTCTGTTAAAACAGTATTTAAGCCTGAATTTTAAGCAAGCTTAGGGAGTTATTCATTTTCCCTTGGGTATCTCCAACGTGTACATATGTATCAATAAACTTCAGTTTTTCTTTTGTTAGTCTGTCCTTTATTACAAAGGTCTCATCCAAGAACTCAGAAGTGTATATTCCTCCTTTATATGTGATTCCAGAAAATTACATATCAACTATGAAATGCAAATTTGGCTTTTAATGTTCAGTTCCTTATAAATGTTTTAACCTACCATAAATACTAAAACATACAGTAATTATCAGAAAATATATATTTTTTTAAATAACCATCTTGAGACCTAAAGAAATCAGGTAGTATGGAGGAAGTCATGAATCTTCCACTTTTTGTCAATAGTTTGAATGTAATAATAGCTTACCAATTGGTTGTGAGTCTCTGACCTGTAGAGTCCACATTTTTAGTCTAAAAAATATCACAAATCTGCGTGCATAAAACTAAAAGGTAGTAGCTAGAATAATTGACATCCCAAAGGGATAAAGAGAGTACAGAAGTTTAGGAAGCCTAATTGTCTTTTTGGACACCAATATTATTTCTCTTGGTAGAACTAGCAACCCACTTTTCCCTTCTTGCAGCATATTCACAAGTGAACCAGCATGTTGTTTTGATTTTTCATTATTCCCATAAGAAAAGTGCAATTCCTAGTAATTTTCAGAGACTTTGAAATCTCAATAGGAAGGAGAGAAGAAATATAACAGCAAAAAATATAAGAAAAAATAATAAATATAAAATTTGATTCATAGTTAGCAATTACAAAGAGTTCTCATCATTTCATTTAATAAAGGTATATCCTTAAATGTTAAGTTGCATACCATAGGCTTTATTGATGCAGGGGTGTGGAGAAGAAAAAGATTAGTATGAGTAGTACTAGTTTAGGAAGCCTTCAGTTCAGAATATATTTTTAAGTTGGACTTAAAAAACATGAGAGGATAGTGTTGACCTAGAATGTTCACAGCCTCTGAAATAGCTTAACACTGGCAGACATATCTCGTAAAACATTTATTTAGGCACCAAGTCCCAGTGTCTGCAATTGGAAGGACTTTCGAGTCAACCACCTACTGGTCTATTTGGTTGTACAAAACATCTGTGAAATGAGAGACATGATAGACAAATGTTACCCTGAGTACCACTTGGATATGGATAGAATAACAGAATCACTTTAGGAACTTTAAAAATTACAGGCACTCTTTAGACCTACTGAAACAAAATCTACAAAGGGATGAAGAATTTTTATTTTTTCTACAAGCCCCAGATAATTCTGGCAGTTGGTAAGATTTGAGAATTACTAGATTTGAGTTTAAAGTATATTATTTTGTCAAGACGTTTTTCTTAGAACTGACAATGAGCAATGAAATACTGAACAGTAATTCTAATAGGACTTGCTGAACACGGTAGCAGCACCCTCACAATTAAACTCACCCTGGTTCTCTTTTCTTTACAAAGCTCCATGCACTCTTTATCAGCCTTCAGGAGTGTCCAAGATGAAGGCAAATTCCAGCTCTTCCTTGATAAGAAGATGGAGATCAAAGTGTTTGGTACTATGTTAGAGAGGGCCATTGGGAAAGTGGTATGTGGTTCTAGGAAGAAGGACATAAATATATGACTAGGAATGAATACTCACTGACTCTACTTCAGTATTATAATTCTTTTTTTTTTTAAAGCAATATTTTTTGTTAACAGAAGAATTACAAAATAGAATGATTCTAAAGGAATAATACAAGCACTTTTAACTACTTTTACTCTATACAAAGTACTAGTTTACAACGAGGTTAAACTTGCAACTCTTTCAAAATTTATGTTGAAATGTGTGACTCTCTCTCTCTCCCTCTCTCTCTCTCTCCCATCTCCCTTACACCAAGGCTTCCAATCATGATGTTCATAACTTTTCATCTTGGCATTCTTTAATATCTGAAATGTTTGTATAATAGAATTTCAGGTATCCTGGAAGTTGGAGTGAAGAATATTTGGTTACAAAGAGCCTTCTACAGACACAAAAAATTATACCAAGTAGGAAATAAGTAGGAAATACTTATATGGTTATATAAGACCATAGAGTCACAACTCTTACTAGGCATGTATCATGACACTTAACTACTGATCCTACATAAAACTTAAAGTTCACTCTGTTTTAGAAAAAAAAAAAAATGTTGCACAGAGTAAGGCTTACTATTATGTTTACAAGAAGAGAATAATACGTATATACATTCATTCATTCATTTGGTATTTGCTAAGAGTTTTCTATGTGCCAGGAATTATATGCTAGAGATGCCAAGATTAAATGACACTATTAATTGCATAGCCTAGAAGTGGAAATACATGTAAACAAATATTGGCAACAGACTATGACAGGTGCTAGAATAACAAGATGTAGTGGTTTACCCAAAAGGAGGGGATAATCAACACTTCTTTGAGAATGTGTGGAAAGAATTAAGAGTAGGTGAGACATTTAAGATGTATCTATAAAGATAAGTAGACTTTGCTTACATTATCTGGGGAGAGGATAAAAGGGAATTCTAGTGTAATGAATATTTCATCATCATTTTTCCTCATCCAGATACTCAGGCTGGGAGATTTCTCTCTCATCAAATGCTGCACAACCACTTACTTGCTGTTTTCAGTGTTCACAAAATGTCCCAGCCATTAAAAATTGGATGACCTGTTCATAATGGGATTGCTTTGGATGACAGTCAGCAAAATCTTGGGCAATGAACAGATGTCTTTTCTGCTGAAGAATCCACAGACAACATGCAGGCACCTGTGAATGCAAGACTCTCCCTTAACAACTACATGAGCAGCAGCTAACAGGGCTCCTCAACACAAGTGACACGTGGTGGCCACCAAAATGGCAACAGAGCATCACGGGAATCAACTTGCTCTTTCACATCAAATTGAGGTTGAAAAACCAGAGTGATAGTGGTTCTCTTGATGCTGATTTGCTAACCTCATCCATTCCCTTCCCTCCTTTCTTTCTCAGTGGTCCTCATTGAGTAACCACACGACTCACCCCGAAATTAATGACCACTACCACCACCATCAAGTGTAGGAAGACCAAGGGGTTCGTTACTTTATTTCTAACTTATTGTCATGGCATATACTCTATGTTCTGCTTCTTTCAGAGCCCTCTTCTTGATCTTAAGAACCTTTTCTTCTTTCCATAGAAAGCTGAGTCTTCTAAATTAAAAAAAAATATTGTTTTCAAAATTACTGCTTTTGATGATGGATCCAAAAGCTTATTCTGGAAGAAATGTCAGTTGTTTTTGTTTTTTCTCTAAATGCTTCTTAATATTTACAATTCTAATTCTCTTCAAAGTAATGAATGCCTCTGACCAATTCCAACCAGGAAGAGATTAGGACAAAATTAATATTTCTAAGTAATATCTCACTACATTTGCCTGTGAACAAAATGATAAAAAGGAAACCTGGCAGATCGGGGTGGGGCAGTTACTTTAAAGATTATAGTTCATAAGTGTAAAACAATCCTCTGAGGTAGATGTTACCATACCTCACGTGATTGATGCAGTTGTTAAGATTTAGGCTGTGCCCATGGTCACAGTTAGTGAGTTGGATTCAAATACAAGTGTTCTGACTTCAAGTCTAATGCACTTTAAGTTTGATCTATAAAAAGAAATAACTAGGAATAGTGTAGCTCCAATTTCCACACTGCATATGCATGACTTCTAAATGCAAAAATTCAGGCATATCACTGGCCAAATAACAAGAATAGCTAACATTTATAAGTAGTTTACTATTTAGGAGGCACTATGCTATGTATGTTATATGAGTTAATTGTATTTTTACCAAAACTTTATGAGATTGGTATTACCATTAATTCCATTTGACTCTTATGTCAAGTAGGGCTTATAGAACTTATGTAACTTTCCAAAGACCACAAAGCTAAAGGTGAGTGAGCCTAAATATGAAGTCAGGCCTGATCCTAAAGTCCATGCTCTTAATGATTACTCTCTACTACTCTTATGGCTAATAGACCTCTTTAGGGAACATACATTATCAAGGAAGTCGTGGTCCTTCCCTAGTTCTATCCTCTGCTTAGAGTATTAGAGAGCAACTTTGTTATGATGCTACTCTTGAGGAATTACATCACCTGAAACACCACCATTTGTATATCCCTTTATCATGTCACATTAGCTTTTATTAGAATTAACTGCATAAGCTAAGTCATCCAAAAACATCATATATTATTAAAGAAGACTGACTTTTCAAAAAAAATCTTTGTGGGCTTTTTGAACTGTAACCTCTCACTGTCCCAGTAGTCTGTTAAATTTAACACAAAAGTATCTTAGGTAATATTCTCTATATACTTAAAATCTTTCTTTGACTATCTCACAATTGTGGCTCATATAATAACTCACTTCACAGGATTTAATCATTATAATGTATGAGATATACTCAACATTGTATGTAATTTTTTTTATTTATTCGATGAATATTTTTGAAAACCTACAATGATCCAGGCAGTAGTGTTGCACAAGACCTTGAGGACTAGAAGTCATGGCGAGTCCAACAGACATGGTTCTACCCTAATAAAACTTAGGCCTAGAATGAAGACAGCCAATAAACAAAAACAGAAAAATATACAATTACAATTTTGACAAGTCGGTGTTGCCTTGAAGGTCTCTTAACAGAAAGATTTTATAGGAGATACAGGTCTGGGAAAGCATTCCTAAGTACATAATGGCTGAACAGTCAGAGCTAAATAAGCGGGCATGGAGCCAGGAGGAAGTACATTCCAGCCAGAGGGAAAGTCACAGCAAAGGTTCTGTGCAGGACAGCCTAACTGGGTACAAAAGCAAGAGAGTGATAGAATGGTTCTGAAGAAGTTTGAGAGAAAACAAGACCAAACCAATTAAGTGCAGTCTATTCTGTGAATAAGGAGAAATGGATGGGTTAGGAACACTGGTAATATGGCTAATGGATGATTGAATACCAAACTTGCCTTGGAAGCAATGGATATGGTATTGTTCTAGAAAGGTTTAGAGACTTAGTTCCCCAGGAGCCATTTGTTTCATTCCAGGGAGATAAAAATCTGAATATTCCTTTCCTGTCTCCTTAAAGAGAATTTGTTTGTTTGTTTTTCAGAGTAAAGATTTCTCTTCCTCTTTTTCCTCTCTTTTTTTGTGGAGATGAAGAAGGGTAGATGTGTTAGCTCCAATCTTCCTTATTTTCAGAGATTCTTTCCTGTGGTACAACCCCACAGCATGCATTGGTGAACATGTAGCCATCATGACTTCACCTTATTAGATATTGGTTTATGGTTAACAGATGCTAAAATGTTCTATGAGTAATAAATGGTCTGTTTTCTGAACAGACATTTCTGTCAAAGTATATTGGGGAATATATGTACATACATATACACAGACAGACACTGCCTTAACTCCAGGCCTCAAATAATTCTACAAATAAATGTCTTTTATTTTTTTTAACATTTATTTATTATTGAGAGATAGGAAGAGATAGAGCATGAGCATGGGAGGGGCAGAGAGAGGGGGAGACACAGAATCTGAAGCAGGCTCTAGGCTCTGAGCTGTCAACACAGAGACTGAAGCAGGGCTTGAACTCACAAACCTAGAGATCATGACCTGAGCTAAAGTCAGATGCTTAACCAACTGAGCCACCCAGGCACCCCAATACATTTCTTTTAAAAAAGCAGTTCACATTTTCTTTGTAAACTATTCATGAAAACTAGACATCATAAACATGAACTCAGAAAGAGAAATCATATCCACAAAGACTTTAAGTGTTTACATTACAAACACAGAATATAAAATACTAATGTCTAGTTGGTTTAAAAATAAGAGATAAATTTAGCATTGTGTTCAGAGAATATAAAACTTTAAAGAATGACCAAGTAAATTTGCACACAAAAAAAGAACTTCCGAAAATGAGAAATACTACACTCAAAATTTTAAAGTGAATACATATAGAATTTAGAGTGGATTATATGGAGTTTTGAGTAGATTAGACTCAGCTAAAAAGAGAATTTGTGAATTAGATAGAGATCAAAAGCAATTATCCAGAATGTAGCACAAATTTACAAAGAATTAGAAAATATGAAAAATGTGAAAGAGTGAGATGATCTGACATATTAAATCAGAATTTCAGAAGTAGGGAAAGGAGAACAACAAAAAAGATAATATATTAGCTAATAATTTTCTAAAACAAATGAAATATACCAAACCACAAATACAAGAATCTCAATAAATTCAAAGTAGAGGAAAATATTCATAGAGGAAAATAAATTCAAAGTAGAGGAAAATATTCATAGTATTCGGCCAAGTGCCGAAATAAAAGAAAAGATTGTAAAAGTAGTCAGAGGCAAAGATTAACTTTAAAGGAGGAGCATTTAGACTGGTACCTTTCATCTCAACAGTGCTAAAGGAAGTGAAAAAGAAATAGAATGATAGTTGGAATGTGCTTATTGAAAAGCATTTATCACACTATAGTTCTATACTCATCAAAATGTCTTTCAAGAATAAAGGTGGAATAAAGACATTTTTCAAAAACTAAAACTGCCACCAACATATCCATGCTAAAAACAAGTCTATAAGATGTACCTCAAACCAAAGGAAAGTAATCCTAGTTGACAGTTCTATATACACAGGCATAAGGAGCAAATAAAGTGGCATATGAAGATGTAAAGCTAGATCACTGACTGAATACAAAAGTAGTAATATCACTACAGTTTAAAAATTAAAATAAACAAGGACAATAGCATAAATGTATGGAAAGAAATAAATCAAGCAAAATTTTAATGATCTCTAAAACATCTCAGAGAAGGTTAAAAGTATTGGCTAAATTTGGACTTTATCAGTTAAGGATGCCTGTAGTAATTTAAGAATAACATTTAAAAATATAAACAGAATGGGGTGCCTGGGTGGCTCAGTCAGTTAAGCGTCCGACGTGGGCTCAGGTCATAATCTTGGGGTAAATGTGTTTTAGCCCTGCGTTGGGCTCTGTGCTGACAGCTCAGAGCCTGGAGCCTGCTTCAGATTCTATGTCTCCCTCTCTCTGCCTCTCTCTCCCTCTCAAAAAAGAAAAAAAAAACATTAAAAAATATATAAACAGAATATATAGCTTCTAAACTAGTTCTGGGAAAAGAATAAATGATTAATTATAAAAAAGAAAAATAGAAGATTAGGTATAAGCACAAATATATCAGCAGTGAGTAGACTAAAAAGAAACCAAATGCTCCTGTAAAAAGATGAGGATTGTCAGATTGAATTTTAAAAAATAATCTAATATATGCTGTTAATTATTGTAATAATTCAGACAAGTTGAAAGTAAAAAGATAGGAAAAACACTGTGCAAACATTAACTAAAAGGATGCTAGTGTAGCTATATTAATTATCATGCAAAACAGATTTTAAGGCTGAAAGAATTTCTTGGGAGAAAGAGGGACAAAAGTTACAACTCAAATATATATGCATATATTTGCATATATAATTTTGTATCTGCTTAAATCATGACCTCAAACTACCTGACACAAAACTGAACTAAAAGGAGAAATGAATAGCTCTGCGATCATAGTGGAAGATTTCAAGTTTGCTCATAATTGACATTAAAAAATCAGACAAAAATTTTACAGCATAATTAAACTTTGACACATAGAGAACATCATATCCATCAATTGCAAAATAATTTTTTTCAAACACACGGAATATTTGCAAAATTGACTATATGATGGGCCATAAAAAACGTTTAAACAAATTTCAAAGGACTGAAATCATACATGGCATA